AAGTATTAAAAAATAATTCCCTAACATATCGGATGGACTCTTTATTGTATTTTTTACAATAATGTCTGATAGTGTTATTGTATTACATTGTTCTGTTTTTACTTATTACCATTTCTCTTTTCATTGTATGTAATGGCAGAGATTAGGGATTTATAAAGTTCAACCATAACCACAATCATATGAACAGAAATCTACGCGTTGATTTATATGAAGGCAAGCCCAGATATTGTGGCCAAGGTTTAGCAAATTGTTGTTTTTATTTACATAGCATAGCAATTTTATTTTTTATATTTTATAGCAATATATTGGGGGGGGGGGCATTTTGAACATATTTGAATATGGGGGGATGTGTCCCCCCCAATATATATTATAATTACAGCCTTGACAGAGACCCATACTCATAGAGACCCATCGACCAAGAGAGATCTACCCCTAACCCACTAGCCAATCAGACACTCGTACTAACTCTACACCTAACCCACTAGCCAATCACACACTCGTACTAACTCTACCCCTAACCCGCTAGCCAATCAGACACTGATACTAACTCTACCCCTAACCCACTAGCTAATCAGACACTAGTACTAACTCTACCCCTAACCCTCTAGCCAATCAGACACTCGTACTAACTCTACCCCTAACCCGCTAGCCAATCAGACACTGGTACTAACTCTACCCCTAACCCACTAGCCAATCAGACACTCGTACTAACTCTACCCCTAACCAACTAGCCAATGAGACACTCGTACTAACTCTACCCCTAACCTATTAGCCAATCAGACACTCGTACTAACTCTACCCCTAACCCACTAGCCAATCAGACACTCGTACTAACTCTACCCTTAACCTACAAGCCAATCAGACACTCGTACAAACTCTACCCCTAACCCACTAGCCAATCAGACACTCGTACTAACTCTACCCCTAACCCTCTAGCCAATCAGACACTCATAATAACTCTACCCCTAACCCGCTAGCCAATCAGACACTCATACGAACTCTACCCTTAACCTACTAGCCAATCAGACACTCGTACTAACTCTACCCCTAACCCACTAGCCAATCAGACACTGGTACTAACTCTACCCCTAACCCACTAGCCAATCAGCCACTCGTACTAACTCTACCCCTAACCTACTAGCCAATCAGACACTCGTACTAACTCTACCCCTAACCTACTAGCCAACCAGACACTCGTACTAACTCTACCCCTAACCCTCTAGCCAATCAGACACTCGTACGAACTCTACCCCTAACCCTCTAGCCAATCAGACACTCGTACGAACTCTACCCCTAACCCTCTAGCCAATCAGACACTCGTACTAACTCTACCCCTAACCCACGAGCCAATCAGACACTGGTACTAACTCTACCCCTAACCCACTAGCCAATCAGACACTCGTACTAACTTTACCCCTAACCCACTAGCCAATGAGACACTCGTACTAACTTTACCCCTAACCCGTTAGCCAACCAGACACTCGTACTAACTCTACCCCTAACCCGCTAGCCAATCAGACACTCGTACTAACTCTACCCCTAACCCACTAGCTAATCAGACACTCGTACTAACTCTACCCCTAACCCACTAGCCTATCAGACACTCGTACTAACTCTACCCCTAACCCACTAGCCAATCACACACTCGTACTAACTCTACCTCTAACCCTCTAGCCAATCAGACACTCGTACTAACTCTACCCCTAACCTACTAGCCAATCAGACACTCGTACTAACTCTACCCCTAACCCACTAGCCAATCAGACACTCGTACTAACTCTACCCCTAACCCACGAGCCAATAAGACACTCGTACTAACTCTACCCCTAACCCACTAGCCAATCAGACACTCGTACTAACTCTACCCCTAACCCACTAGCCAATCAGACACTCGTACTAACTCTACCCCTAACCTACTAGCCAATCAGACACTCGTACTAACTCTACCCCTAACCCACTAACCAATCAGACACTCGTACTAACTCTACCCCAAATCTACTAGCCAATCAGGACACTCGTACGAACTCTACCCCTAACCCACTAGCCAATCAGACACTGGTACTAACTCTACCCCTAACCCACTAGCTAATCAGACACTTGTACTAACTCTACCCCTAACCCACTAGCCAATCAGACACTCGTACTAACTCTACCCCTAACCCGCTAGCCAATCAGACACTCGTACTAACTCTACCCCTAACCCACTAGCCAATCAGACACTCGTACTAACTCTACCCCTAACCCACTAGCCAACCAGACACTCGTACTAACTCTACCCCTAACCCACTAGCCAATCAGACACTCGTACTAACTCTACCCCAAATCTACTAGCCAATCAGGACACTCGTACTAACTCTACCCCTAACCCACTAGCCAATCACACACTCGTACTAACTCTACCTCTAACCCTCTAGCCAATCAGACACTCGTACTAACTCTACCCCTAACCCACTAGCCAATCAGACACTCGTACTAACTCTACCCCTAACCCGCTAGCCAATCAGGACACGGACGCTAACGCTCTATAATAAGCCGGCGTTGTTTACTCGTCGTGCATCAGTGGCAGTCACGAGGCACCGTCACGTGGGACCCAGGCGGGAGTGAGTGAGTGTGGTGGGAGCGGTGGTGCAGCGGTTAGCGCACTGTGTAACGTCAAACCCAGGCGTGAGTGAGTGTGGTGGGAGCGGTGGAGCAGCGGTTAGCGCGCTGTGTAACGTGAAACACAGGCGTGAGTGAGTGGGAGCGGTGGTGCAGCGGTTAGCGCACTGTGTAACGTGAAACCCAGGCGTGAGTGAGTGTGGTGGGAGCGGTGGTGCAGCGGTTAGCGCGCTGTGTAACGTGAAACCCAGGCGTGAGTGAGTGAGTGTGGTGGGAGTGGTGGTGCAGCGGTTAGCGCACTGTGTAACGTGAAACCCAGGGGTGAGTGAGTGTGGTGGGAGCGGTGGTGCAGCGGTTAGCGCGCTGTGCACTCGCCAGCAGCACTTGCCCCAACTGCCTGTTGAAGGCTACACGGGGGATCTTTGTCTTTGGTGGCCGGGCGATGCGTCTCCAAGTCCCCGGGAAAGTGAAACTTGGCCACCGACACGGTGGCTATGAGATGTTGATGACCTCGCCTGGTACACAGGAGGTCCTGGGTTTGATCACGACCCCTGACGCCTGCTGCTACTGCTGCTGTGTATTTGGAGGTTGAATGTCGATGTTCACGTGGTCGTGTGGAGTTGTCTCTCTCTCGTTGTCTCTCTCTGTGTCTCTCTCTGTGTCTCTCCCTCTGTGTCTCTCTCTCTGTGTCTCTCCGTGTCTCTCTCTCTGTCTCTCTCTCTGTGTCTCTCTCTCCGTGTCTCTCTCTCGTTGTCTCTCTCTGTGTCTCTCTCTCTGTATCTCTCTCTGTGTCTCTCTCTCTGTGTGTCTCTCTCTGTGTCTCTCTCTATGTGTCTCTCACTCTGTGTCTCTCTTTGTGTCTCTCTGTGTCTCTCTCTCCCTGTGTCTCTCACTCTCTGTGTGTCTCTCTCTGTGTCTCTTTCTCTGTGTCTCTATCTCTGTGTGTCTCTCTCTGTGTCTCTCTCTGTGTCTCTCTCTCCCTGTGTCTCTCTCCCTGTGTGTCTCTCTCTCTGTGTATCTCTCTCTGTGTCTCTCTCTGTGTCTCTCTCTGTGTCTCTCTGTGTCTCTCTCTCTGTGTCTCTCTCTCCGTGTCTCTCACTCCGTGTCTCTCTCTCTGTGTCTCTCTCTCTGTGTCTCTCTCCCTGTGTCTCTCTCCCTGTGTGTCTCTCTCCCTGTCTCTGTGTCTCTCTCCCTGTGTCTCTCCCTGTGTCTCTCCCTCCGTGTCTCTCTCTCTCTGTGTCTCTCTCCCTGTGTCTCCCTCCCTGTGTCTCTCTCCCTGTGTCTCTCCCTGTGTCTCTCCCTGTGTCTCTCCCTCCGTGTCTCTCTCTCTGTGTCTCTCTCCCTGTGCCTCTCCCTCCGTGTGTCTCTCTGTGTCTCCCTCCCTGTGTCTCTCTCCCTGTGTCTCTCCCTGTGTCTCTCCCTGTGTCTCTCCCTGTGTCTCTCTCCCTGTGTCTCTCTCCCTGTGTCTCTCCCTGTGTCTCTCTCCCTGTGTCTCTCTCTCCCTGTGTCTCCCTCCATGTCTCTCCCTCCGTGTCTCTCCCTCCGTGTCTCTCCCTCCGTGTCTCTCCTTCCCTGTCTCTCCTTCCGTGTCTCTGACTCTCTGCGTGTCTCCCTCCCTGTGTCTCTCTCTCCCTCCCTGTGTCTCTCTCTCCCTCCCTGTGTCTCTCTCCCTGTGTCTCTCTCTGCGTGTCTCCCTCCCTGTGTGTCTCACTCCGTGTCTCTCCCTATGTCTCTCTCCCTGTCTCCCTCCCTGTGTCTCTCTCCCTCCCTGTGTCTCTCTCCCTGTGTCTCTCTCCCTGTGTCTCCCTCCCTGTGTCTCTCTCCCTGTGTCTCTCTCTGCGTGTCTCCCTCCCTGTGTCTCCCTCCCTGTGTGTCTCTCTCCCTGTGTCTCTCTCTGCGTGTCTCCCTCTCTGTGTGTCTCTCTCCCTGTGTCTCCCTCCCTGTGTCTCTCTCCCTGTGTCTCTCTCTGTGTGTCTCTCTCTGCGTGTCTCCCTCCCTGTGTGTCTCACTCCCTGTGTCTCTCTCCCTGTGTCTCTCTCCCTGTGTCTCTCTCTGTGTGTCTCTCTCTGCGTGTCTCCCTCCCTGCGTGTCTCACTCCCTGTGTCTCTCTCCCTGTGTCTCTCTCTGCGTGTCTCCCTCCCTGTGTGTCTCCCTCCCTGTGTCTCTCTCCCTGTGTCTCTCTCTGCGTGTCTCCCTCCCTGTGTCTCCCTCCCTGTGTGTCTCACTCCCTGTGTCTCTCTCTGCGTGTCTCCCTCCCTGTGTGTCTCCCTCCCTGTGTCTCTCTCCCTGTGTCTCTCTCTGCGTGTCTCCCTCCCTGTCTCCCTCCCTGTGTCTCTCTCCCTCCCTGTGTCTCTCTCCCTGTGTCTCTCTCCCTGTGTGTCTCACGCCGTGCGTCTCTGCAGAGCGCGATGACGCTGGAGAGGACTTGGAGGTGCTCGACCTGGCCGGCTACGCGCGCCGTCGTGGCTGGCTGCAGCGAGTGTTTGGCCACGAGGCCGGCCCCATCGCCCACAAGTACTCCGTGGCCACGCAGATAGCGGTCGGGGGTGCGGGGGGCTGGTGGGTGGGCACACCACCACCAGTAACCACGGCAACCACACCACTACCAGTAACCACGGCAACCACACCACCAGTGACCATGGCAACCACACCACCAGTAACCACGGCAACCACACCACCACCAGTAACCACGCGAACCACACCACCACCAGTAACCACGCCAACCACACCCCCACCACCAGTAATCATGCCAACCACACCACCAGTAGCCACGCCGACCACACCACCACCACCACTAACCACGCCAACTACACCACCACTAACCACAGCAACCACACCACCAGTAACTATGCCGACCACACCACCACTAACCACGTCAACCACACCAACCACGTTCAACATACACACACATAGCACGGTTGGCTACATACGGTGTGAAAGAAGTTCAACACACATACACCACACACACGTGTGTGGTGTGTGTGTGTGTACCTGAGTGTGTGTGTGGGGAGCGGTGGTGCAGCGGTTAGCGCTACGCTGCGCTACGAACCTGGCGACCCGAGTTCGATTCCCGCTCACGGCCACCAACACCACCGGTGACGATTATCTGAACCGGTCCTGGGCCTCCCCTAGGTCGACTCGGCCCCAAATGAGTATACCTGGTGCGGTGTGTAGTAAACATCGCCACTGGGGAGACAAAGGCGGCCGGGAGTGGTGCTGGCCACCCACCCCCTCGTGTGCCACAGTGCCGGTAGCCTTCACAGGTGCTGCTCGCTAACAGCACTTGCCCCTACAGCCTGTTAGAGGCTACACGGGGGACCTTTATCTGTGTGTCTATAGGTGCTGCTCGCTACTAACAGCACTTGCCCCTACAGCCTGTTAGAGGCTACACGGGGGACCTTTATGTGTCTATAGGTGCTGCTCGCTACTCACAGCACTTGCCCCTAAGCATGCTAGAGGCTACACGGGGGACCTTTGTCTGTGTGTGCAGGTGTGCAGGCTTCGTGTTCCAGAAAGTGGGGAAACTGGCAGCCACTGCAGTAGGCGGAGGCTTCCTGCTTCTACAGGTCCAGACACACACACACACACCCCTACATACACACACACACACACCCCTACATACACACACACCCCTACATACACACACACACCCCTACCTACACACACACACACCCCTTTATACACACACAACAACCGCCATTCGCCACTAAGTGGCGGTAACGTCACCACGACGCTTGTGCCAGGCCATGTGCACCTTGAGGCCACGTGAAGTGTCGAACGCCCGCTGGCAGGAGGTCACGGGGCAGACCCAGGTGCCACGGGTCGACTGACTGAGATGACTGAGATGATGCACCACCTGTGCCCCCTACTGTGCCAACCTGCTGTGCTTTAGCCACCCGGCGCTCCGCTCGTTGTTCTGAGCGTCGCTCCTCCGCCCTCCGTTGTTGTTGGAGGGCGACTACCTCCAACTGCCCAGTAGCATCCTTCACGAGCCTCCTCCACAGAGGCCGATCTTGACACCGCTGGTACCAGTCATCGGCAAGTCCACTCAGCTCCACGTCCTCCTGTACCACATCACTCCATCTCTTCTCTAGCCCGTGCCGCGCCCGCTTAGCCCCCTCGATCCGGCCAAACAAAAGCTGTTTCGGCATGCGGTGGCTGGGCATGCGGGCTACATGTCCCAGCCATCGCAGCCTTGCCTGCCGGAGGAGCTCACCGATGGGACCCTGCCCAGATCTTTCAAGGATTTGTGAGCTCCTCACACAATCCAGTCTGGTTAAACCCAGGATGGATCGTAGGCAGGCCAGCCTAAATGTTTCTAACCGGCGAAGATGTTCCATTAGGGGGGTCCACGTTTCGCAAGCGTAGAGAAGGGAGGGAATGACCGTGGCCGAGAAGACCTGAAGCTTAGTGCGGAGCGACAGACCAGGTAGCTTCCACACAGCGTTACGCAACCGATGAAAAGATATTGCCGCTCGACTGATTCGGAGTGAGACCTCTGCTGTTAAACTGGAGCCAGTCATAAGCACACTGCCCAGGTATGGGAAACTCTCCACTCTCTCCACAACTGCCCCATCACCGATTGGGAGTTGTGGGGGTGGAGTGTCCGATGGTACAAAATACCCAGGCAGGTGCTTAGTTTTGGTGGGGCTGATGGTAAGGCCCCACCTCTTAGTGGCACGCTCCAGTCTCAGCAGCAGCGTCTCCAACTCCTCCTCTGACTGAGCAGCTATTACCAAATCATCAGCATACATAACGTGGTTGAGCAATAGGGAGCCATCCCTTGACCGCACCCGGGCATCGATTAGTCTCCCATTATATCTGTACCATATGGAGATTCCCCCGGTACAGCTATTGAAGGCTTCACGAACTACGTGGTCAAAATAGATGTTAAATAATGTGGGAGCCAGAGGACATCCCTGTCGCACCCCAAAGTGTACAGGGAATGGCTCTGACTCCCGGCCACGTAGTTTTACCCGGGCCCGCTCACCATCATGAAGGTCCTTAATGATCGTGAGCAGAGGGTCAGGTACTCCAAAAGCATGAAGAACGACCCAGAGCCCAGGCCTACTGATGGTATCATAGGCCTTGACCAGGTCAATAAAGCAGAGATGTAGGTCTTGTTGGAATTCCCTACACCTTTGCTGTAGCAGACGGACAGAAAATATGGCATCTGTGCAGGACCGCCCTTTCCTGAAACCGCATTGGGGCTCCGCAAGCCTCTCCTCAGCGTGCCTGGCAAGGCTATGCTGAATAATCCTTGCCAGGACCTTTCCCGGCACACTGAGGAGTGAGATGCCCCTGTAGTTTGTGCGGTCCCCCTTCTTAAAGAGGGGGACCACCAGGGCATCCTTCCAATCCTGCGGAACCCGTCCAGTGGTCCAGACCGTTGTTATGATGTCATATAGGGCAGTCTGTGCACAAACGCCACCCTCCCTCAACATTTCGCTTGGGAGATCATCTCTGCCCGCTGCCTTTCCTGGTCTCAGACTCCGGATCGCCTTCAGTACTTCCTCAACAGATGGCACCTCAGCCAGCCACTCACAGGGGGTGACTTCTTCCAATATTGGAGGCACCGCAGCCTCAGCAGGGTCATCCTCACTTTGTGCCACGATGTTTTCCTGGCTGAGGGATTTTCCCTCCCCCAGGACCTCACAGAAATGCTCAGCAAATCTGCAAACCTGTTCCTGGGGGTCAGAGATTGGATCTCCGTTTTTTTCCCCTAATGATGGTAATAGGTGTGGCGCTGCAGGTTACTTTTTTGATGGAGTTAAATAGAGATTTGTGATCACTGGCCACTGAGGCAGACTCCATCTCCTCAGCAACCCACGACCACCACCCATCCTTGCAGCGCCTCACGTCTCTCCGAACCTCCGAGCGAAGGCTGCGGTAAGCCTCATTCTCTGACGTGGGATTCTGTAGCCGATGACAGTGGGCCTGTCGCTTTTTCTCAACCATCGTGAACACCTCCTCTGTTAGCCAGTGTCTCTGGGGCGGTCTGGACCGCGTACCCAAAGCAGCCATTGCAGCTGCATGAGTCAGTCCTAAACCTCGCCCATTTACCCTCGACATCAGGAGGAGGCGGGGACGATGCCAATCCCAGCCGCAAGCGATGATGAAATTCTCGCTTGCAACTTTCATCAGATAACTGAGACCAGGCCACTTTAGGTCAGAATGGGGTCCTGGGTGTACACCCACCACCGGAGTGGAAGAATGGCAGGTGCATCTTACAGATGACTAGTCGATGGTCAGAGGGCAGATCAGCTCCACGGTAGGTCCTGGTGTCAAGGACATGGGCTCGCATCCGCTGGTCCGTCACTATGTAGTCCAGCAGATGTTCTTGCTTGGACCCGGCATGCATCCATGATGTTGTGTGGATGCGCCGATGCCGGAACAGCGTGTTGGTAATTACAAGCCCATGGGCTGCACAAAAATCTAGCAGCCTCCTACCATTGTTATTGAGCTGATCTGGCCCATGCCCTCCAATCACTCCAGACCAGGTGCCAGTATCATGACCAACTCGGGCATTGAAGTCATCCAACATGGTGACTCTATCCCGAGGGGCCACTTTAGCCAGCACCTGTGACAGGAGGTCATAGAAGGCATCTGACTCATCGGCTTTGCCTGCATCCCTCCATGGATGTTCCTCTTCGGTGGGGGCATAAGTAACCACGACCACCATTCCTCGCCTCCGGTTGATGGGAAGGTGAGCCCAAAGTAGCCTGGGGCTTACAGCTTCCCACACCTCACCGCCACGCTCCCACGCCCCCTTCATTCTTTTGTTCAAAAGAAGAGCCACACCCTGTTGTTTGGCAGTCTGCTGCCCCGAGTAGAGGACTGTCCACCCCTCATGGTGGCAGGAGCCAGAGCCGGTCCACCGGACCTCCTGAATGCCGCATAGATCCAGGCGGTACCGGTCCAGCTCCCGACAGAGGAGTGGCAGCCTCGCCTCCGCAGTGAGCGTTCGAACATTCCACGTGGCCACCCGTAGTGGCATTTCGTTGTTTCTGGAGGAGCCCCGAGGGTAGATATTCAATCTCCTGGCTCCGCCAATTGGGGTTTGGCCAGGAGACGTCATAGACGCCTGGCCCCCCGGGGCCTCCGGCACAAGCTTATTAGTTACATATTTCAGTTTAACTCGTGGTTTCGTGGTAATTAATTGAAGGTGGAGGGGTTACCAGCCCCTCGCACCCGTCCAGAGCCCCCGTTTAGCCCCTGTGGTGGACACATGCCATGAGGGGAGGAGCCAATTAAAATTGGATCTCCCCCCACAGCACTGTCCACGACAGAGTTGCCCGTCCGGCACCGCGAGGAGGTAGGGGGTTTTTTGCCGGACTATATACACACACACACACCCCTACATACACACACACCCCTTTATACACACACACACCCCTACATACACACACACACCCCTACACACACACCCCTACATGCAAAGACATATATATAGCCTTAACAGACTGTAGGGGCAAGTGCTGTTAGCGAGCACCCCTACATACACACACACATACACACCTACATACACACACACACACCCCTACATGCACACACACCCCTACATACACACGCATCCCTACATATATACACACACACACACAACAACAACAACAACCGCCATTCGCCACTAAGTGGCGGTGACGTCACCACGACGCTTGTGCCAGGCTATGTGCACCCTGAGGTCACGTGAAGTGTCGAACGCCCGCTGGCAGGAGGTCACGGGGCAGACCCAGGTGCCACGGGTCGACTGACTTAGATGACCGAGATGAGTGGCTGATGCACCACCTGTGCCCCCTACTGTGCCAACCTGCTGTGCTTTATCCACCCGGCGCTCCGCTCGTTGTTGTGAGCGTCGCTCCTCCGCCCTCCGTTGTTGTTGGAGGGCAACTGCCTCCAACTGCCCAGTAGCGTCCTTCACGAGCCTCCTCCACAGAATCCGATCTTGACACCGCTGGTACCAGTCATCGGCCAGTCCACTCAGCTCCACGTCCTCCTGTACCACATCACTCCATCTCTTCTCTAGCCCGTGCCGCGCCCGTTTAGCCCCCTCAATCCGGCCGAACAAAAGCTGTTTCGGCATGCGGTGGCTGGGCATGCGGGCTACATGACCCAGCCATCGCAGCCTTCCCCGCCAGGGGAGCTCACCGATGGGACCTTGCCCAGATCTTTCAAGGATTTGTGAGCTCCTCACACAATCCAGCCTGGTTAAACCCAGGATGGATCGTAGGCAGGGCAGCCTTAATGTTTCTAACTGGCGAAGATGTTCCATTAGGGGGGTCCACGTTTCACAAGCGTAGAGAAGGGAGGGAATGACCGTGGCCGAGAAGACCTGAAGCTTAGTGCGGAGCGACAGACCAGGTAGCTTCCACACAGCGTTACGCAACTGATGAAAAGATATTGCCGCTCGACTGATTCGGAGTGAGACCTCCGCTGCCAAACCGGAGCCGGTCATAAGCGCACTGCCCAGGTATGGGAAACTCTCCACTCTCTCCACAACTGCCCCATCACCGATTGGGAGTTGTGGGGGTGGAGTGTCCGATGGTACTAAATACCCAGGCAGGTGCTTAGTTTTGGTGGAGCTGATGGTAAGGCCCGACCTCTTAGTGGCACGCTCCAGTTTCAGCAGCAGCGTCTCCAACTCCTCCTCTGAATGAGCAGCTATTACCAAATCATCGGCATACATAACGTGGTTGAGCAATAGGGAGCCATCCCTTGACTGCACCCGGGCATCGATCAGCCTCGCATTATATCTGTACCAAATGGAAATTCCCCCGGTACAGCTATTGAAGGCTTCACGAACTACGTGGTCAAAATAGATGTTAAATAATGTGCGAGTCAGAGGACATCCCTGTCGCACCCCAAGGTGTACAGGGAATGGCTCTGACTCCCGGCCACGTAGTTTTACCCGGGCCCGCTCACCATCATGAAGGTCCTTAATGATCGTGAGCAGAGGGTCAGGGACTCCGAAAGCACAAAGAACAACCCAGAGCCCAGGCCTACTGATGGTATCATAGGCCTTGACCAGGTCAATAAAGCAGAGATTGTAGGTCTTGTTGGAATTCCCTACACCTCTGCTGTAGCAGCGTGCCTAGCAAGGCGATGTTGAATAATCCTTGCCAGGACCTTTCCCGGCACACTGAGGAGTGAGATGCCCCTGTAGTTTGTGCGGTCCCCCTTCTTAAAGAGGGGGACCACGAGGGCATCCTTCCAATCCTGCGGAACCTGTCCAGTGGTCCAGACTGTTGTTATGATGTCATGTAGGGCAGTCTGTGCACAAACGCCACCCTCCCTCAGCATTTCGCTTGGGAGATCATCTCTGCCCGCTGCCTTTCCTGGTCTCAGACTCTGGATCGCCTTCAGTACTTCCTCAACAGATGGCACCTCAGCCAGTCGCTCACAGGGGCTGATTCTTCTTCCCATACAAAGACAAAGATTCCCCATTTAGCCTTAACAGACTGTAGGGGCAAGTGCTGTTAGCGAGCACCTATGAAGGCCAACACGGCACACGAGGGGGTGAGTGGCCAACACCACGCCCGGCCGCCTTTGTCTCCCCAGTGACGGTGTTCGCTGCACATCGCACCAGGTACTAATTTGAGGCTGAGTCGACCTATGGGAGGCCCGGGACCGGTTCAGATAACCGTCACCGGTGGCGTTGGCCATGAGCGGGTGTCAAACCCGGGTCTCCAGGTTCATAGCGCAGCGTAGCGCTAACCGCTACACCACCGCTTCCCATACACACACACACACACACTCTCACACACTCACCTACATGTACACCCGGGCACGTACACACTCGGGCACGTACCCGGGCGTGTCCCCGTGTGTCTCTCCGTGTCTCCCCGTGTGCAGATAGCGAACCACACCGGCTACGTCACCGTGGACTGGAAGCGAGTGGAGAGGGACGTGAACAAAGCAAAAAAGCAGCTGAGCCGTAAGGCGCATCAGGCCGCTCCGGACATCAACTCCTACTTCGACGAGGTGAGCGGCAGATCCATCGCCACCCATCGCCACCCATCGTCACCCATCGCCACCCATCGCCACCCATCGCCACCCATCGTCACCCATCGCCACCCATCGCCACCCATCGCCACCCATCGCCACCCATCGCTACCCATCGCCACCCATCGCCACCCATCGCCACCCATCGTCACCCATCGCCACCCATCGCCACCCATCGCCACCCATCGCCACCCATCGCCACCCATCGCCACCCATCGCCACCCATCGCCACCCATCGCCACCCATCGACACCCATCGACACCCATCGCCACCCATCGCCACCCATCGCCACCCATCGCCACCCATCGTCACCCATCGACACCCATCGCCACCCATCGCCACCCATCGCCACCCATCGCCACCCATCGCCACCCATCGCCACCCATCGCCACCCATCGCCACCCATCGTCACCCATCGACACCCATCGCCACCCATCGCCACCCATCGCCACCCATCGCCACCCATCGCCACCCATCGTCACCCATCGACACCCATCGCCACCCATCGCCACCCATCGCCACCCATCGCCACCCATCGCCACCCATCGCCACCCATCGCCACCCATCGACACCCATCGCCACCCATCGCCACCCATCGCCACCCATCGCCACCCATCGACACCCATCGACACCCATCGCCACCCATCGCCACCCATCGCCATCCATCGCCACCCATCGCCACCCATCGCCACCCATCGCCACCCATCGCCAACGCCGTCATCATGATGACCGTGTCTTCACAATCGTCACGATCATGACCGTCTTGATAACTTGTCACCATCACCACCGCCGGCAGCTACGCATCCGGCCGTGCGAGAGAAGTCCAACGTGGAAACAAAGACAAGTACAAAGGTCCCCCGTGTAGCCTCTGACAGGCTGTAGGGGCAAGTGCTGTGAGTAGCGAGCAGCACCTATAGACACAGACAAAGGTCCCCCGTGTAACCTCTAACAGACTGTAGGGGCAAGTGCTGTGAGTAACGAGCAGCAGCTGTGAAGGCTACCGGCACTGTGGCACACGAGGGGGTGGGTGGCCAGCAACCACGCCCGGCCGCCTTTGTCTCCCCAGTAGCGATGTTTACTACACACCGCCACACCAGGTACTCGTTTGAGGCTGAGTCGACCTAGGGGAGGCCCAGGACCGGTTCAGACAATCGTCACTGGTGGTGTTGGTGGCCGTGAGCGGGAATTGAACTGGGGTCGCCGGGTTCGTAGCGCAGCGTAGCGCTAACTGCTGCACCACCGCTCCTCCCCGTGTACACACACACACACACAGAAACAACAACAACAACCGCCATTCGCCACTACGTGGCGGTGACGTCACCACGACGCTTGTGCCAGGCTATGTGCACCTTGAGGCCACGTGAAGTGTCGAACGCCCGCTGGCAGTGAGGAGGTCACGGGGCAGACCCAGGTGCCACGGGTCGACTGACTGAGATGACTGGCTGATGCACCACCTGTGCCCCCTACTTTGCCAACCTGCTGTGCTTTAGCCACCCGGCGTTCCGCTCGTTGTTGTGAGCGTCGCTCCTCCGCCCTCCGTTGTTGTTGGAGGGCGACTGCCTCCAACTGCCCAGTAGCGTCCTTCACGAGCCTCCTCCACAGAGGCCGATCTTGACACCGCTGGTACCAGTCATCGGCAAGTCCACTCAGCTCCACGTCCTCCTGTACCACATCACTCCATCTCTTCTCTAGCCCGTGCCGCGCCCGTTTAGCCCCCTCGATCCTGCCGAACAAAAGCTGTTTAGGCATGCGGTGGTTGGGCATGCTGGCTACATGACACACACAGACACACACACACAGACACACACAGACAGACACACACAGACACAACAACATCATCAACAACATCAACACCATCGGCAGCAGTAGCAGCAGTGACGTAGGACGATGCCGTCGCGCTGCCGCTAGGGGGCAGTAGTGACGAGGTGGAGGAGGTAGCGGGGGCGGTGGAGCAGGAGGAGGTGGTGGTGGTGGATGAGGAGGAGGGGGAGGTGGTGGTGTTGGATGAGGAGAGGGGGGGAGGAGGTGGTGGTTAGTGGATGAGGAGGAGGGGGAGGAGGAGGTGGAGCAGGAGGAGGTGGTGGGGTTGGTGGATGAGGAGGAGGGGGAGGAGGAGGTGGTGGATGAGGAGGAGGGGGAGCAGGAGGAGGAGGTGGTGGTGGTGGATGAGGAGGAAGGGGAGGAGGAGGTAGCGGAGGAGGTGGAGCCGGAGGACGTGGTGGTGGTGGTGGATGAGGAGGTGGTGGTGGATGAGGAGGAGAGGGAGGAGGAGGTGGTGGTGGTGGATGAGGAGAAGGAGGAGGAGGTGGTGGTGGTGGATGAGGAGGTGGTGGTGGTGGATGAGGAGGAGGTAGCGGAGGAGGTGGAGCAGGAGGAGGAGGCGTGTCGGGGTCGGAGTGACGAGTGGGGGCGGGGGAGGTCGTGACCCCTCCACGAAGGTTGGCCTCGTGTGTAGGATGGCCTGCTCCTGCCACGTGTGTGCGTGAGTGCGCGTGGGTGCTTGTGTGTGTGTGTGTGTGCGTGTGTGTGTGTTCGGAGAGCCGTGAGGCGCTGCAAGGATGGGTGGTGGTCGCGGGTTGCTGCTGAGGTGATGGAGTCTGCCTCAGTTGCCCGTGATCACAAATCGCTCTTTAATTCCATGAAAAAAAATAACCTGCAGCGCCACAGCTTATTACCATCATTAGGGGAAAGAACGGTGATCCAATCTCCGACCCCCAGGAACAGGTTTGCAGATTTGCTGAGCATTTCTGTGATGTTCTGGGGGAAGGGAAATCCCTCAGCCTGGAAAACATCGTGGCACAAAGTGGGGATGACCCTGCCGAGGCTGCGCTGCCTCAAATACTGGAAGAGGAAGTCACCCGCTGTGAGTGGCTGGCTGAGGTGCCATCTGTTGAGGAAGTACTGAAGGCGATCCGGAGTCTGAGACCAGGAAAGGCACCGGGCAGAGATGAGGGTGGCGTTTGTGTACAGACTGTCCTACGTGACATCATAACAACAGCCTGGACCACTGGACGGGTTCCGCAGGATTGGAAGGATGCCCTGGTGGTCCCCCTCTTTAAGAAGGGGGACCGCACAGACTGTAACAACTACAGGGGCATCTCACTCCTCAGTGTGCCGGGAAAGGTCCTGGCAAGGATTATTCAGCATCGCCTTGCCAGGCACGCTGAGGAGAGGCTTGCGGAGCCCCAATGCGGTTTCAGGAAAGGGCGGTCCTGCACGGATGCCATATTCTCTGTCCGTCTGCTACAGCAAGGGATGTAGGGAATTCCTACAGGACCTACAGCTCTACTTTATTGACCTGGTCAAGGCACTGTGATACCAGCAGTAGGCCTGGGCTCTGGGTTGTTCTTCGTACTTTCGGAGTTCACGATTGTAAAGGCGACGTGGACGCACTCACCACGAGATGGTTTATTTGATTAAGGAGTCACGTGCTCTCACTCGAGCAGGCGGAGACCCCCACTGCTGTAGCCCCGAGTCTCCCGCGAATATTCCCCGTATACACGGTCCGAGGCCACGCCCCCCATTCCTGAACCTTCCCGCTGGTTCTAGGCCGCTCGCTCTACCGGCAGACTCCACCGACGCCTCACTTCACCTGGCCACGCTCATATTCTCGATCATTCCCGTGGCCACCAGTCCACTCACACTGCAGGCTGACTCCCCTGTCATTACCTCCCGTGGCCACCGGTCCACTCACACTGCAGGCTGACTCTCTCCCTGTGTCTCTCCCTTTGTCTCTCTCCCTGTGTCTCTCTCCCTGTGTCTCTCTCCCTGTGTCTCTCTCCCTGTGTCTCTCTCCCTGTGTCTCTCTCGTTTTGTCTCTCCCTGTGTCTCTCTCTCTGTCTCTCTCCCTGTGTCTCTCTCCCTGTGTCTCTCTCCCTGTGTCTCTCTGTCTCACTCCCTGTGTCTCCCTGTCTCTCTGTCTCTCTCCCTGTGTCTCTCTCCCTGTCTCTCTCCCTGTGTCTCTCTCCCTGTGTCTCTCTCCCTGTGTCTCTCTCCCTGTGTCTCTCTCTCCCTGTGTCTCTCCTCTGTGTCTCTTTCCCTGTGCCTCCCTGTGTCTCCCTGTGTCTCTCTCCCTGTGTCTCTCTCCCTGTGTCTCTCCCTGTGTCTCTCTCTGTGTGTCTCTCTCTGTCTCTCTCTCCCTGTGTCTCTCTCCCTGTGTGTCTCTCTCCCTGTCTCTCTGTCTCTCTGTCTCTCTCCCTGTGTCTCTCTCCCTGTCTCTCTGTCTCTCTGTCTCTCTCCCTGTGTCTCTCTCCCTGTGTCTCCCTGTGTCTCTCTCCCTGTGTCTCTCCTCTGTGTCTCTTTCCCTGTGCCTCCCTGTGTCTCCCTGTGTCTCTCTCCCTGTGTCTCTCTCCCTGTGTCTCTCCCTGTGTCTCTCTCTGTGTCTCCCTGTGTCTCTCTCTCTGTGTCTCTCTCCCTGTGTCTCTCTCCCTGTCTCTCCCTGTGTCTCTCTCCCTGTGTCTCTCTCCCTGTGTCTCTCTCCATGTGTCTCTCTCCTTTTGTCTCTCCCTGTGTCTCTCTCTCTGTGTCTCTCTCCCTGTCTCTGTGTCTCTCTCCCTGTGTCTCTCCCTGTGTCTCTCTCCCTGTCTCTGTGTCTCTCTCCCTGTGTCTCTCTCTCTGTCTCTCTCCCTGTCTCTGTGTCTCTCTCCCTGTGTCTCTCTCCCTGTCTCCGTCTCTCTCCCTGTGTCTCTCTCCCTGTGTCTCTCTCTCTGTGTCTCTCTCCCTGTCTCTGTGTCTCTCTCCCTGTGTCCTCTCTGTGTCTCTCTCCCTGTCTCCGTCTCTCTCCCTGTGTCTCTCTCCCTGTGTCTCTCTCTCTGTGTCTCTCTCCCTGTATCTGTCTCTCTCCGTGTGTCTCTCTCCCTGTCTCTCTCCCTGTGTCTCTCCCTGTCTCTGTGTCTCTCTCCCTGTGTCTCTCTCTCCCTGTGTGTCTCTCTCCCTGTGTCTCTCACTGTGTCTCTCTCCCTGTGTCTCTCCCTGTCTCTGTGTGTCTCTCTCTGTGTCTCTCTCCCCCTGTGTCTCTCTCCCTGTGTCTCTCTCTCCCTGTCTCTGTGTCTCTCTCCCTGTGTCTCTCTCCCTGTGTCTCTCTCCCCCTGTCTCTCTCTCCCTGTGTCTCTCTCCCTGTGTCTCTCCCTGTGTCTCTCTCTCTCCCTGTGTCTCTCTCCCTGTCTCTCTCCCTGTGTCTCTCTCCCTGTCTCTCTCCCTGTCTCTGTGTCTCTCTCTCCCTGTGTCTCTCTCTCCCTGTGTCTCTCTCCCTGTGTGTCTCTCCCAGGCGCTGCTCTTCCTCAAGAGGAACGTGGTACTCTCTGTGTCTCTCTCACCCTGTGTCTCTCTCCCTGTCTCTGTGTCTCTCTCACCCCGTGTCTATCTCTCACTGTGTCTCTCACTGTGTCTCCCCCTGTGTGTCTCTCTCCCTGTGTCTCTCTCTCCCCCTGTGTCTCTCCCAGGCGCTGCTCTTCCTCAAGAAGAACGTGGTACTCCCTGTGTCTCTCTCTCTCTCACTGTGTCTCTCCCCCTGTGTCTCTCTCTCACTGTGTCTCTCACTGTGTCTCTCCCTGTCTCTGTGTGTCTCTCCCAGGCGCTGCTCTTCCTCAAGAAGAACGTGGTACTCTCTGTGTGTCTCTCTCTCTCACTGTGTGTCTCTCCCTGTGTGTCTCTCTCCCTGTGTGTCTCTCTCACTGTGTGTCTCTCACTGTGTGTCTCTCTCTCTGTGTCTCTCACTGTGTCTCTCTCTCACTGTGTGTCTCTCCCTGTGTCTCTCTCCCCCTGTGTCTCTCACTGTGTCTCTCCCTGTCCCTGTGTCTCCCAGGCGCTGCTCTTCCTCAAGAAGAACGTGGTACTCTCTGTGTCTCTCTCTCTCACTGTGTGTCTCTCCCTGTGTCTCTCTCTGTGTCTCTCTCCCTGTCCGTGTGTCTCTCCCAGGCGCTGCTCTTCCTCAAGAAGAACGTGGTACTCTCTGTGTGTCTCTCTCACTCACTGTGTCTCTCTCTCTGTGTCTCTCTCCCCCTGTGTCTCTCTCCCTGTCTCTCCCCCTGTCCCTGTGTCTCCCAGGCGCTGCTCTTCCTCAAGAAGAACGTGGTACTCTCTGTGTGTCTCTCTCTCTCACTGTGTGTCTCTCCCTGTGTCTCTCTCACTGTGTGTCTCTCTCTCTCACTGTGTGTCTCTCTCACTGTGTGTCTCTCTCTCTCACTGTGTGTCTCTCTCACTGTGTCTCTCACTGTGTCTCCCCCTGTGTCTCCCAGGCGCTGCTCTTCCTCAAGAAGAACGTGGCACTCACTGTCTCTCTCTCTCTCACTGTGTGTCTCTCCCTGTGTGTCTCTCTCACTGTGTCTCTCACTGTGTCTCTCTCTCACTGTGTCTCTCTCCCTGTCTCTCTCCCTGTCCCTGTGTCTCCCAGGCGCTGCTCTTCCTCAAGAAGAACGTGGTACTCTCTGTGTCTCTCTCTCACTGTCTCTCTCTCACTGTGTCTCTCCCCCTGTCTCTCTCTCACTGTGTCTCTCTCCCCCTGTCTCTGTGTCTCTCCCAGGCGCTGGTCTTCCTCAAGAAGAACGTGGTACTCTCTGTGTCTCTCTCTCACTGTGTGTCTCTCCCTGTGTCTCTCTCACTGTCTCTCTGTGTCTCTCTCCCTGTCCGTGTGTCTCTCCCAGGCGCTGGTCTTCCTCAAGAAGAACGTGGTACTCACCAGCGGATTCCTTGGCGGCTTTCTCCTGGGCATGGCGTCATAATCACTCACTCACTAGTACACACTAGTACACACACTAGTACACACACTAGTACACACTAGTACACACACTAGTACACACACTAGTACACACACTAGTACACACTAGTACACACACTAGTACACACAATCACTAGTACACTCACTAGTACACACACTCACTCACTAGTACACACACTAGTACACACTAGTACACACACTAGTACACACACTAGTACACACACTAGTACACACACTAGTACACACACTAGTACACACACTCACTAGTACACTCACTAGTACACACACTCACTCACTAGTACACACACTAGTACACACTCACTAGTACACACTAGTACACACACCAGTACACACACTAGTACACACACTAGTACACACACTCACTCACTAGTACATACACTCACACTAACACACAATCACTAGTACACACACTCACTAGTATACACATACACTAACACACACCAACACACACACACTAGTACACACACCAACACACACACTCACACTAACACACACTCACTCTCACACACTAGTACACACACTCACTCACTCTCACTCACTAGTACACACTAGTACACACACACTCACTAGTACACACACACACTCACTCTCACACACTAGTACACACTAGTACACACACACTCACTAGTACACACACACACTCACTCTCACTCACTAGTACACACACTAACACACACTCACTAGTACACACACACACCAACACACACACTCACTCTCACTCACTAGTACACACACACCAACACACACACACCAACACACACACACCAACACACACTCACTAGTACACACACACCAACACACACACACACACCAACACACACTCACTAGTACACACACACCAACACACACACCAACACACACACCAACACACACACCAACACACACACACCAACACACACACCAACACACACACCAACACACACACACCAACACACACTCACTAGTACACACACACCAACACACACACACCAACACACACACCAACACACACACCAACACACACTCACTAGTACACACACACCAACACACACACACCAAGACACACACACCAACACACACACACCAACACACCAACACACACACCAACACACCAACACACACACCAACACACCAACACACCAACACACACACACACCAACACACACACCAACACACACACCAACACACACACAGTAACACACACACCAACACACACACACACACTAACACACACACAGTAACACACACACACACTAACACACACACACTAACACACACACCAACACACACCAACACACACTCACTCACACAGTCACCACGTGACTCTATGACGTCACCGTCCACACTGCTCCACGAGAGTTCCCTGGGGCTGTTGCACCCGGGGCGTGGTGAGCACGGCGCTTGGGGCGACGTTGGGGCGACGTTGGGGGGACGTTGGGGGGACGTTGGGGCGACGTTGGGGGGACGTTGGGACGACGTTGGGGGGACGTTGGGACGACGTTGGGAGGACGTTGGGGGGACGTTGGGGCGACGTTGGGGGGACGTTGGAGGGACGTTGGGGCGACGTTGGAGGGACGTTGGGACGACGTTGGGGGGACGTTGGGGGGACGTTGGGGGGACGTTGGGGGGACGTTGGGGTGATATTGTATCGATATTGTTGTAATGATATTGATATCGTTACATCGATATCGTGATGTCGATGTAACGATACGGACGATGTTGACATTATTGTAACAGTATGGATAGCATTGTCCTTGCTGTTTGTTGTCGTTGGAGCTTAAATAGGCGGTGGTGGTGATGGTGGCGGTGGTGGTGGCAGTGGTGGCGGTGGTGGTGGTTGTGGCGGTGGAGGGTGGTGGTGGTTGTGGTGGTGGCGGTGGTGGTGGCGGTGGTGGTGGTGGTGGCGGTGGTGGTGGTGGCGGTGGTGGTGGTGGTGGCGGTGGAGGGTGGTGGTGGTTGTGGCGGTGGTAGTGGTGGCGGTGGTGGTGGCGGTGGTGGTGGTGGTGGCGGTGGTGGTGGCGGTGGTGGTGGCGGTGGTGGTGGTGGTGGCGGTGGGGGGTTGTTGTTGTTGTTGTCACGTGGCCTGGTGCACGTTGGTGGCACCCCCCCGAGTCATAGAGACAGCACCCGTCACACAAAGAGCTTTGTAGCTCATCGGATTTGACACCGCCCCCCCCCCTCCCCCAGTAGAAATAAACAAAGATCCTGATTCTGATGACGGTCGCGAGACGTCGGACCTCGATGAGACCACGCGGCAGCCCCGCCCCTCCCCCGCCGTGACTCCTCCCCCCCGCGGCCCCGCCCCTCGTCACTGTTTCCGGCCCCTCCGTGCCCCCCCCCGCGACCCCGCCCCTCCGTGCCCCCCCCCCCCCCGCGGCCGCACCCTCCCCCCAACGGCCCCTCGCCCCCATGACCCCACCCCTCGCCCGCAGCGGCCCCGCCCCTCTCCACATTGGCCCCGCCCCTCCCGTGCCCCCTGCCGCGGCCCCGCCCATCTCCCCCTGTGGCCCCTCCCCCCACGCGCCCCCCCCCCACCCCTTCTGGCGTTTTAAATATGAATAAAAGTCGGTGTGGGAGTCACTGTGTGTGTGTGTCACTGTGTGTGTGTGTCACTGTGTGTGTGTGTCACTGTGTGTGTGTGTCACTGTGTGTGTCACTGTGTGTGTGTGTCACTGTGTGTGTGTGTCACTGTGTGTGTGTGTCACTGTGTGTGTGTGTGTCAGTCGACCCGTGGCACCTGGGTCTGCCCCGTGACCTCCTGCCAGCGGGCGTTCGACACTTCACGTGGCCTCAGGGTGCACATAGCCTGGCACAAGCGTCGTGGTGACGTCATCGCCACTTAGTGGCGAATGGCGGTTGTTGTTGTGTGTCACTGTGTGTGTGTGTCACTGTGTGTGTGTCACTGTGTGCCGGGAGAGGTCCTGGCAAGGATTATTCAGCAACGCCTTGCCAGGCACGCTGAGGAGAGGCTTGCGGAGCCCCAATGTGGTTTCAGGAAAGGGCGGTCCTGCACAGATGCCATATTTTCTGGTCGTCTGCTACAGCAGAGGTGTAGGGAATTCCTACAAGACCTACATCTCTGCTTTATTGACCTGGTCAAGGCCTATGATACCATCAGTAGGCCTGGGCTCTGGGTCGTTCTTCGTGCTTTTGGAGTACCTGACCCTCTGCTCAGGATCATTAAGGACCTTCATGATGGTGAGCGGGCCCGGGTAAAACTACGTGGCCGGGAGTCAGAGCCATTCCCTGTACACCTTGGGGTGTGACAGGGATGTCCTCTGGCTCCCACATTATTTAACATCTATTTTGACCACGTAGTTCGTGAAGCCTTCAATAGCTGTACCGGGGGAATCTCCATATGGTACAGATATAATGGGAGGCTAATCGATGCCCGGGTGCGGTCAAGGGATGGCTCCCTATTGCTCAACCACGTTATGTATGCTGATGATTTGGTAATAGCTGCTCAGTCAGAGGAGGAGTTGGAGACGCTGCTGCTGAGACTGGAGCGTGCCACTAAGAGGTGGGGCCTTACCATCAGCCCCACCAAAACTAAGCACCTGCCTGGGTATTTTGTACCATCGGACACTCCACCCCCACAACTCCCAATCGGTGATGGGGCAGTTGTGGAGAGAGTGGAGAGTTTCCCATACCTGGGCAGTGTGCTTATGACTGGCTCCAGTTTAACAGCAGAGGTCTCTGCGTTACGCAACCGATGAAAAGATATTGCCGCTCGACTGATTCGGAGTGAGACCTCTGCTGTTAAACTGGAGCCAGTCATAAGCACACTGCCCAGGTATGGGAAACTCTCGACTCTCTCCACAACTGCCCCATCACCGATTGGGAGTTGTGGGGGTGGAGTGTCCGATGGTACAAAATACCCAGGCAGGTGCTTAGTTTTGGTGGGGCTGATGGTAAGGCCCCACCTCTTAGTGGCACGCTCCAGTCTCAGCAGCAGCGTCTCCAACTCCTCCTCTGACTGAGCAGCTATTACCAAGTCATCAGCATACATAACGTGGTTGAGCAATAGGGAGCCATCCCTTGACCGCACCCGGGCATCGATTAGCCTCCCATTATATCTGTACCATATGGAGATTCCCCCGGTACAGCTATTGAAGGCTTCACGAACTACGTGGTCAAAATAGATGTTAAATAATGTGGGAGCCAGAGGACATCCCTGTCGCACCCCAAGGTGTACAGGGAATGGCTCTGACTCCCGGCCACGTAGTTTTACCCGGGCCCGCTCACCATCATGAAGGTCCTTAATGATCGTGAGCAGAGGGTCAGGTACTCCAAAAGCACGAAGAACGACCCAGAGCCCAGGCCTACTGATGGTATCATAGGCCTTGACCAGGTCAATAAAGCAGAGATGTAGGTCTTGTTGGAATTCCCTACACCTCTGCTGTAGCAGACGGACAGAAATATATGGCATCTGTGCAGGACCGCCCTTTCCTGAAACCGCATTGGGGCTCCGCAAGCCTCTCCTCAGCGTGCCTGGCAAGGCGATGCTGAATAATCCTTGCCAGGACCTTTCCCGGCACACTGAGGAGTGAGATGCCCCTGTAGATGTTACAGTCTGTGCGGTCCCCCTTCTTAAAAAGGGGGACCACCAGGGCATCCTTCCAATCCTGCGGAACCCGTCCAGTGGTCCAGACTGTTGTTATGATGTCATATAGGGCAATCTGTGCACAAACGCCACCCTCCCTCAGCATTTCGCTTGGGAGATCATCTCTGCCCGCTGCCTTTCCTGGTCTCAGACTCCGGATCGCCTTCAATACTTCCTCAGCAGATGGCACCTCAGCCAGCCACTCACAGGGGGTGACTTCATCCAATATTTGAGGCACTGCAGCCTCAGCAGGGTCATCCTCACTTTGTGCCACGATGTTTTCCTGGCTGAGGGATTTTCCCTCCCCCAGGACCTCACAGAAATGCTCAGCAAATCTGCGAACCTGTTCCTGGGGGTCGGAAATTGGATCACCGTTTTTTCCCCTAATGATGGTAATAGGTGTGGCGCTGCAGGTTACTTTTTTGATGGAGTTA